ATTGTATCTAAGTTTCTTACATCGAACCTAAACTATTTGTATTATTCAACCAATGATTTCGATTCCAATATAGATAAGACTTTCGATGCTGTTGCTGAATATATCCGATGGATCGACTAATGGGAAAATAAGTTGAAACCAAGAGATATTCTAAATAGAAGAAAATGATCTCAATGAAATGAAGAAAAGAGAAAAAAAGACAAACTTCTTCGCGAGCTACTTTCATATCATCTTTTACATTAGTAAAAATAGTAGGTTGAATAAAATAACCATTATCATCAACTTTTTTTACCCGATTGAATACATTCAAGAATTGTTTCTAATTGAGTATAACTGTTTTGTAGAATACACAAAAGAAATCAATGCTAATCTGTTGTCTTATCAAATTATTTTCTGAATCCTCAATCAATATGTTTTTTTCCATAGTTTAGATTATGGCACTTTGCTTGAAATGCTTTGCTATACGTATGGTCCGTGTTCAGTTGTAGAATCAAATGGATCACCAACAATACGTGTCTTTGCTAATTCGACACTTTTAGACGCAAAGGCATCGTGAAGCGTGGAATGAACAAATATTTTTGATGCAGCAAAATATACTTGACCTGCATGAGTGAAAACTGCTCTCTGAGCCGTTCGAACAGAAACATCGACTAAAACATGCAAAAACAAATTAATTCTATCGTTTGTAAACCTTTTTCGTCATTAGGAAGTACAATGAAAGTGGAAGTAATAAAATTATTTAATACATACGATCAGTATCTTCACAAATGATTAATAGTGATTTACTACTTATATGTGATGCAAAAGGCAACAAAACAGACAGGGAAGAAAGATGGTTTTACTACCTAAGTTCAAGTGAAACACGCTTTAGATTAGTTTTTCTTGCAGTTTCTTGAATCTTTTTCCCAGCCTAAAACAAAATATCATGTGCTTTTGTTATTCTGTTTTTCACCTGCACTAATCTTGCCTAGAATGAACCTGTAAAAGCTATTTTATTAATCTTTTCATGAATGACCACAGTTAGGTCCATGACTTGCATATGTACATCATTATAACAATTGTTTTCATTCTGGTGATGTGTATTACCTGACACACTGTTAACAATACCTGGTAGAAAACCAGCCTAGATTATTGATTTAGTGTTAGAGTAAATTTCTATTGTTGATAGATGATGAATAATACTTCCTTGATGACAAAAGCACAAAAGAGTGCAGTAAGTGATGTTTGTTCAGCTGGTTTTAGAATAACTACATTGCCTATTTGTTATTGCAATATATAAGAAAGTGTAAATTAATAGAAGTAATGAAGTTATCACAAGCTAATGCTGATCCAAGTTTCAAGGCCAACATAATAGTCTAAAATATAATGACAACAATACTTTTGTATGATGCATATGTGAGAAAGAATATCGTACTGAATAATCACTGAAAGAAGAAAGTACAATTTGAATTTTCATTTATTGAATGTTTGAACTGATCATGAAATGATTTGTTCATAGATCCTAACTAGTTCATGTCTAACATAGGTAATAAAAATACTTGATGCTGATGAAAATGTTTCACCAGTGATTTTATCAGTCCATTCAGCATCTGTAACATGTGAATATCATCGATAATAAAAAAAAGAGAATGTCAGAAAGACTTACAATAATCAAGACAAATAGCTGCTCCAAGAATCTCGCAATAACTCTCTTGTGGCAGTTTTTCACTACTCGGTATTTTTAATCTCTGAATATTCATTTATGATGTGGATGCAAACAAACAGTGAACATTTTTACTGCTAAATAATCCAAAACACATGGAAGTAAATCAGCAAGTTTATGAATTAACTGAGCACGTGCAGCAGGATCTAACTTACGCTATGGTGAATCATATTGGAAACCTTTTTCAGCAGTTTCAATTGTTTTATCAAGATCACTCTACAGTATTGGAAACAATAAAAATTACACGTAGAACGAAAATAATCATGTGTGTATATATATTGATACTTTTGTGCCTTCTTCTACTTGGCAAATTTCTTCATCTGTATTTGGATTAATGATAGAGAACGGATTCATCTTTGTCTACATGATTGACCTTGATTTATCACATAAGAAGAAAAGAAAGAATAGACATATATTAACTCGTTCCTTTATCTACTTATATTCATTTCTGTTTCAGTGGCAGATGATGTCTTCAATCTTAATGAATGGTTCAACTTATGAAACCAATTTGGTTAAAAGAAAACAAAAATTTGATAAAGTAGCACACCTGAGTATTGTAACAAGTCTTTGTGTCAATGTGGTATTTTTTAAAACTTGTCGTATCAATTGGACTTTGCGAAAAGCGAAGAACAATTTTTCTAATAATATATGTATTTGATATTGCACTTCACGATAGAACTATTTTGCTAACAGCAGCAAATTAGATCGTCCTTAGTATATGCAAAACCATATTCTTTTCATGTGATTCTATTACTAAAGATCCTATCAGTTCGTTTAATGTGTAACACTCAATATATGAAAGAAGACTTCCAGAACGAAATTGTCACGATGGAAGGAAGGAATTTTTAGAATGGAGAAGATTTCGAGTGAATAGAACTAATTTTCATAACTGTACGCTGGATTTCGAAAGCATTGTAAATAACAGGCTAAAGCATTCTCTTCACCAATTTCATATATCTACTTATGTGATTTCAGTTAATAAATTAACATTTTTTACAAGAACATTATTGTTACTGTTCAAAACTGATGTCACTTAGATGATAGAGAACAGGAACAATCAAAAAATTTATTATATATAAAAACTTCTTCAGATTCACTATATATATATAATCAATAAGTAATGTTTTACGATAGCAGAAAAGAATCTATCACACTTTTCCTTCTTCAATAATCAATTTGTTTCTTCGTATTGTATTTCTTTAAAGTTTTTTAAACAATAAAATTTTAAATGTTATTAATTATGTATCTTAAATTGAAACTAGATTATGATCATTCATACGAGTTATTACCGTAATTACGAATTGTTTCAACTGATTGTTCGTGGTATTCTATTCTTTGCACTTAAGTATTTTATTTAAATTAGTTATACGTATTAGTGAGACTTTCGCAATACATGGAAGAGTTTAGAGAGCAAACCACATAAATGTTAGAAAGTTAAACAAGCAAATCCAAATAGCTGTTCTTCATGAAAAATTTGTATTGTTTTCCCTCAAACAAGTTTAACAACAATTGTTTTTACTTGATAATATGCTTCGAGACCATATCGACCTAATTCTCTTTCCTGACCTGATTGTTTAAAGCCACCAAATAGTGCTTGATCACATATAGTCTTATAAGTATTTATCCAAACAGACCCAGGTCGTATTTGATGAGCCAACGTAAGACCACGTCTTACTGAAAAGCTAGAATAATCATCAATAACCATTTCTTTCAACTTTACTGTCTCTAGTTATCACTCCAGCACCAAGTCCAAAAGTCGTGTCGTTTGCTCGTTTGATAACTTCTTCATATGAATTATACTTTAAGACTGACATTACTGGACCAAATATCCAAACTTTTACATTATTATAGAATCTAATCAAAAAAAAAAGTTATATCTCTTCACGAGTAATATGCATATCATCTTTTACATCACTAAAAATAGTTGCTTTTTGATAAATAATCTTTATTATCAACTCGTTCACTACCACATTGTAATTTATCTCCAAACTTTTAACTTAATTCTATATAGTCCAAAATCTATTGAAATTAACTATCATTCATCTATCATATACAAGTAAAGTGAACTTTTCTTTAGATTAAAGAGGTTATTACTTGTGATTCTTGTTCAGTATTAGAATCAATTTGATTATTTGAAAGTCTTATAGAATACTCATCCTCACCCTCAGATGATCAAAGGAGATTTTCCACCGATATGTGAAAAGAGAATAGCTCAGATGAAAATGATCCTGTATTTGTTACTGACCAAGTTCAAGTGTAACACATTTAAGATTTGATTTCGTTGCTGCTTCTTGTATTTTCTTTCCAACCTTCAATCAAATATTTCACATTCATTTTTTTTAGTTTTATTAGTGAATGTTCTTACTTCAACTGAATTAGTACAAGCTACTTTATCGATATGTGCATGAACAGCTATTGCATAACCACATTCAGGCCCATCATCTAAATATTCTTATGAAATTATTATGACAAATATCATTCACTTTACCTGGTATGATGTTGACAACATCTGGTGGAAAGGCAGCCTAGATCATCATGACTACAACAAAGTATAATCGACATGATAATATCTTACCTCTTTGATAAGAGCAGCACAATAAAGTGCACTAAGTGGTGTTTGTTCAGTTGGTTTCAGTGCAATCAACTGAGAAAAATATTTCACCCTTAGTCTGTTCTACTAGTTTACCATTGTTAAGTGTTTCCACTTTCTACATATTGACTTATGTTGAGAGAAAGAAAGAGGATCTAATTTATGCCATGGTGATTCAATATCAAAAGCTGTTTGAGCAACTTCAACTGTTTTATCAACATCACCCTGAAAATCACAATAGATAATGAACCAATGAAGAACATATAGAGATTCATACTCTAGTGCCTTCTTCTACTTGACAGATTTCTTCTCCTGTACTTGGATTGACGAGAGAAAATGTTTTTCTATTTGTTGCTTTATGCCATTCATTGTTGATAAAGATTTGAGTATATTTAACTTCAACGTTCGAAACTATTCAATTAGCCGATCACATCTGAAAAATAAGAGAAAAGACCTGAACAAAAAAAGGTGTTTTGATCGACAACAAGTATGATAATGATTGTGTCATCGTCATTTATCTAAGCAAACACACACTTATATATCCCACTCGCTCTCTTTTATACGTGCACAAATATATACCCACTTTTTGCTTTTTCTCTTATTTTCTTAGAACGAAAGAGAACAGACGCTAGATAAAAGAAAACGTAGATTTTCTTCTTACCAATATACAAATGTAGGTTGCATCAACGACAGAACACAAACAAAATATAACGTACAAAAACCATGTTTTTGTCAACAAACAAAACGAGCAGTACATAAACAGTCATGATTTTGATTAGAGAAAAAAAATCTTAGAGAAACGCTGGAACTTCTCTGGTACCAAGCGGTCATTTCGTCACATGATGATTTTTCCAATCGATCAGGACAAGATCCCATAGAGTTGATTAGCATCAGTTCCCTCTCTGTTTCTCCCAGAGATTACCTAATCATCAGACCATTTGGTTACAATTTTGATAAATGATGTACTTTTTCCTGAAACATGTTTCAATCAAGAGAAATGAAAATAAGCTACTTCTTTCGAAATCTCTTACTTAAATCTTGTGATGGACTGTAACAAAAATAAGAAGTATTCCATTTGGATATTTGAAATGATTCGATTATATTTCACATTTTAATCTCGCACAAATTGTGCTCAAAGATTTTTTTTTGTCCGATTCGTGCCACTTTCACATAAAACGGTAATAGATTTAAGAAAAGCTCATGACAATTCAGTTTTATTTATCTTTTCATTTTTTAGTTGTAAAAGTAAAAAGTTTACAAAAATACTTATTTCTATCTCTTATTCTGCCGAAAAAGGTTAATTGTGCAGCAGAATATTACGATAGTTGAGTATTAGAAAAGGGCTCATGTGATTCTCACATAGTGCTAATATATGATTAAATACACTTTTATCTCCTCTTCTCAAGTGTGAAACTCTCTAGTTTCTATCAAAACTGATTCGAAAAATATTCATTCTTCTTCTAAGTTGAAACGAAACATAATTTTGCTCTCCAAAAGCTAATTTTTCCGAGAAAGACGATTGGAATCAACACATCTTATGTGGAAAAAATTTTGATTTTTGTATAGATATTGATATAAGATTGTTTTTTCAAGACTTATTTAACATGATAAAATTTACAGGTAGTCAAAGCATTGGAGCTGATGTATATTTTTATATGCAAAATATGCGAGACTAAAAACATTTTGACGTAACGAATATTTCAACATATTAACAAAAATGTTTCATCAATATGATCTATCGCAAACAATATGTTAGTGACGAATACCATTTGAACGAATTTCGATTGTCAGATAATTAAAATCAAAATATTCAATGATAAGTAAAGAATAGAAAAGCAAAAACAATAAGAAAATATATATTAATGATATATTTGAGAACGAATTAGAGTCCTACTGAAGCAGAATAAATATAAGATAAAAACAAATTTCCAACGTACAAAAATTTCTTCGAAGACAATTTTTATACGACTGTGTTTGTATTTTTCTTTTTATTGATAAGGAGATTATTACTATAAAATTTAAAACGCTATTCAGAAACTTGAGTGATCTTCGCTCAGTGAAATTAAAAATTATCATCTCGATAAAGATTGATTAGTTTTTCATACTCAATTATAATTTATTATTCTCACAGATATCATTGAACTGTCGCATAAAACATGAAACTATCTAATTTCACCCTCACATATGATGAAATATCTTTAGAGCAAAAACTTTGAGGTGAGAAACGCATCAGTGACGATGAACGATAATAGAATTGAAATTGTGCAATTGATAGATAGTTCAATTGATCAATTAATAAAACTACATAATCGATTTAGGTCCAATCGATAATGGATTTTACTTTCAAATTTTTCAAAATTGTTTCGTACGTATAAAGTTCGCATCGCTTCGAAGGCAATATCATGTGATAAGCCAGCTAACATAGCGAGATCTTGACGCGAAAGTGAGCGTAAATGAGGCATATGTTCAATGAGATCAAGAAATGAAGTCGATATAAGATTGGTGTCGGTTTGTTCTATATTGAATATGAGTGATGTGACATTGATAAAACGTTAAATAATTGGATTAAATAATGACAAATCAACTTGATGGATATATTTATCAAAACAGAAATTGGACGATGTGCATATTAGTGGCCAATAAATATTCGGATATACGAAAATATTTGATGTAAAACGAGGTACCGTAAAGATATTTCGCGAATATGGACCATCATAGACAACAAATCAGCGTTTTTGTTCAAGTCAAAATAGTGAACAAAATGAATAAAGAATATTTTCTTCGGAAAAATGTGGTAATGAACATGGAAGATGCAATCGAAAGTTGAATATAGTCAAATGTGAAACAAGAAATTCCCATTTTTGGCCATCAATAAGATCTAGATAGCCTTGTGCAATAAGTTCGGAATAATATAGATTAGATATTTTAGATAAAAATTGTTCTACATGGATCATGGTCTTTTTTTTACCTTAATTTTAAAAAACAAAGAATATATATATACAATTTTCAAATAACTATACACACCATGAATGTTTAGGATGAGCCATCTTAGATGGGACAATAATGATATGTTATCCGTCCACTTTGGATAATTATCATATGAAAGTTTGACATCAAGTGAATAAAGATTTGGAATTTGATTTAATATAAATGATAAGCCCCAGCAAAAGAAACTTTGAAGAGTTAAATGACGTAGATGAGGAAATGAAACCAAAACGAGATTATGAGCATGGGGTACTGCTAGTCGATTCAGTCAAGGAATTAAGTTATATATAGCAGTGTGTGTCTGTTTTTATTATCACTAATCGTAGTCATATGGAATGGTTGAATATGAATGAATTGTTCGAGTTTAAAATGAGATAAGAACAGGTTTGATTGATGCGATGTATCATTGTCATGGGACAATATAAGAGAAATGACTTGATGTGGTCGTATATGTTGGCAAAGAAGATCAAATTTCGATTTAAGAACAGAATAAAAGTTGAGTAAATAGTGACAATAGTCAGCTAATATAGAATCCAGGTAATCACTTAGGCTAGAAAATGAATGGTGGATATCATGTACTCAAAGATAATCAAAAATATCGTGAAGTAATTCAATAGGCAACCGATCTATTCGACTCAAAGACATTATATAATAAAAAATATCATGTGAGATAACTGATTTCTTATTGCTCGTTCATGATGTAATAGTATAGCACACTGCTTTCTTTCTTGTTTCATTCTTTAGTCGATCCTACTAGCAAACGTTGTTCTTTCGGATATGAAACACATGTCGAGATGCAAATGAGATTGACAAATCAAAAGTTTTCAATAAAATGAGCAAACATGTCTTTCAATGGTCACATATTTCTTCTGCATCTTTAGTCTTTACGTACTTTAATCATTGCCATTTTTTTCTTTATTTACAACATTGAGTACGAGTCACTGCTTTTCATTTTTAAGCCACTTGTTTTTCTTTTTAATTCAACTTTATAACACTAGAGACGTTTTTTTTCGATGAAATTGAAATATAGAAAAATTCAGATTATAAAATCAACTTTTTTTCTCCAGGGAAAATAAATAAACAAAGAAGAAAAGCCTACTTCGAACGTTATCTTGTTTGAGTTACCTTGCGATTGAACGATGAATAGGAAAATGATTAACGTTATTTTTTTTTATATACAAGGTATCTCGTAAGTCATCGGGCAAGAAAAGATTTGAATATCTCTTCGTATTTCGGCGAAATAGACTAATTATTTCACTAAAGATGAACCATGGTTCATAGCTCATATTCATAGTAAAAACGTTAGAAAATAGGTTTTTGAAGTGTCATTTCTACCTTCTGACTTTGATAAACTATAAAAATACAATATGTTTATCCTCACGAACAAAAATGAAAAACAGCTATTTTTTCGGTGACTTCTTCATACTATTGTGAGGTGCATATGATGTGGAGAAATATCTTCATATGATTATTTTCTCTTTCCTATGTTGTTTTTGAGTGTTATCTATTCGTATGCAAAGGTCTTCTGAACATTTTATGTATTATTCGATCCAAAATAAAAGGCAGTTTTCCATTTTTCAAATAACTTTTAATAGGAACAAGATAGAGCGCTGCAATTTTTCCCATTTGAAAGAACAATACTTGGGTCATCGATCTGTATAAAATTCATTAGGACGAAAGATGTTTGTTCATAGAGAATTATCGATTAAGTTATTTTCTAGGTATAATTTTCCTCAATTTTCACAATAATCTGAACTCAAATGATGTCTAAATGTAGCTTAAGGACACTTTTTTTCACTACAAAATATGTAAATGCTCCTGAGAATCCACTTCGTAAAAGAGATCGCGAGTTGATCGAAAATGTGATGATTTTATAGTGAAAAAAGTGTGATAGGCAATCTTGTTCGAAAAACATCTTTCGTCCTCATGAGTTGTATACAGATCGATGGCCCATATGCAGTGATCGTTTGAAAAATAAAAAAGAAGTTCATTTTCGATCAGATAGATGGATTCATTCGTTAAAAGGAAACCAATTTAATTGAATCGTAACACAACTTAACGATTAGTTGGGAAAGAAGATAGGATATGGAACTGGCAAGTCACGAATAGCGCCG